CTATTGATTTATCTATAGGATGAAATGATATTGGAAACCAACAGAGATCTTAAGAGAAAGGTAGTGCCATCAAAATCTTATATCCCAAGAAATTGAATTCATTTGAGATCTTTTACAACATTGCTGTCTCTCTCTCTCTCTCTATCTATCTCAGTTGGAGGAAAGTGATGCAGCCTTTATCAATCACTATTGGGAGCTTCTTCTTCTACATAACATCATCAACAACAAGGCAAGAGCTCTTATCAAGCAAACGTTCTGAGTTAAGAAGCGGGTTTCTTCAGACCTTAACAGGACAATGTAGCATTGCAGATGGGGTACTCATCACAGAAAACAGTGAAAACCCAGTGAATTGATCTTTTATGGTCAGCTAGACTTATATTTGACTTTTGTTTGTTTTTATGGAACGATCATTACAATCATTGATGTGACAAGTGCAAGCAACTCTGCAACATCACATAATGTTATTAACAGTTCTTCCTTGGATGGATGGTCTGAAAAATATTTTAGAAACCATCATTTCAGTACAATAGACCATTTTCTATCTGGTGGATTTTACTAAAAATTAAATAACTACGTTGAACATTTAAATTGGTGGCCATGAGCATTAAATTCGGGATACTCTGTGGCCACAATATAAATATAGTTACATAAATTAGGTCTAAAAAATATATTATATTTGAGTTCAAATCTTTAATAAATTTTTAAATCACACTAAAAATTAAATAACTACATTTATCTTCTATATTAAAAGAGAAGTACCATTTATATCTACTACACAAAAGTCATTTTAGACCATTTCATTAATATGACATATTGGATTATTTATATTAATCAATCAAATATATATTACTGGCAAAATATTTTATTTTTATTTAATATAGAAGATAAGATATTAGTAATAAATCAATTTGAATATAAATTTATATTTTAATTTTATTTATAACAAAATCTGTTGAGAAAATATCTAACATGATCTTACCAAGAATTTTAAATATTTTTATAAAATATATATTATTTAATTTCGTGATTAATATATATATATCCTCTGTATTAAAAGAGAAGTACCATTTATATCTACTACACAAAAGTCATTTTGGACCATTTCATTAATATGACATATTTGGTTATTTATATTAATCAATCAAATATATATTACTGGAAAAATATTTTATTTTTATTTAATATAGAAGATAAGATATTAGTAATAAATCAATTTGAATATAAATTTATATTTTAATTTTATTTATAACTAAATCTGTTGAGAAAATATCTAACATGATCTTACCAAGAATTTTAAATATTTTTATAAAATATATATTATTTAATTTCGTGATTAATATATATATATATATATATTAATGTTAATTAAAAATAAAAATTGGTATATTTTATAATTTAATGATATTCTATTTTATATTAAAATAAAAATACTATGTGAAATGCATCTAAAAGCATATTAAATTGGTAAAGAAAAATATTTTATTTTAAAAATTTATTTTCTTCACTGTTAAAACATATTAGTTTTTTTAAAACATGTAATATTTTTATACAAAAAATGTTAACATATATTTTTGTAACTCACAACAAATACATTATCTAATATATATATATATGATTTTTTTAAAAAAATTACAACAATATATTATATAAAAATAATTAAAATAATAAGATTATATAGTTATATAATATATAACAATAAAATGTAAATCATATATTTGAAAGTTTATGTTATATTTTTATAAAATAAAAAATTACCCGCACGGATGTGCGGGTTCAAAATCTAGTATTATCTTAAAACAGAAATCATGACTCATTTCATGTGTGATTTTTTAGTTTAGACCATCTTTAGAAAACTTATAAAATCTTACATAACAGCATTATAATATCTTTTTTTTTTGACAAAAAATCATTATAATATATTTTCACATCTTTAATTCTTATTTGAAATACAAACAAATATTTTAAAGAAAATTCTAACAAAATCTTTTTAAAATCTTTTAGACTCTTCTCAAGATAAATTTTCGAATATTATTTGATTATAATTTAAATTATCATAAAATATAATTAAAATTTTTTGTTTTTTTTTATTTATAAATAAAATAAAACTATGTAAAATACTTTTTAATACTATCCCAATTTTAAATGTATTATGTAGATCCAACTTAATTGAATTTTTACAGGTATTTCAAATTTATAAATAAAAAATATATATAACTTAGTAATGTTACATAATAATGTTTTTAAAAAATTATTACAACAATACAAATTTTCTATTAATAATATTATAAGCTACATAAACATTATTATACAATTAGATAGTATATAACATCAAATTATATTTATTTATTTATTATTTATTATATAATTTAAATATTTTAGAATTAAAATATCTGCACGGTTGTGCAGGTCGAGATCTAGTTTATCATTTAAATTGGTGGCCATGAGCATTAAATTCGGGATACTCTGTGGCCACAATATAAATATGGTTACATAGATTAGATATCCCTTATATTAAAAGAGAATCATTTAACAAGTTGTAACCTTAAGTTTGTAATAATTAAAAATAACTTCAATTTTGTGTGACATAGCTATTTGTCTTCTATTTCAATTTAAAAGGATTCTAAAGTATGTAATATAATGTATAGTCTAAAAATTATACTCTCTAGCAGTATAATATTTCGTAGGTTATAGTTGGTCGCATATATCAAATATTTATTGTTTCAAATGCTTTCCTTATATAAAACCTACAGAATTACCTAATGGGATTTAAATATATATATATGACGATTAATGATTTTAAACAATAAAGATTTGATAACAATCTGTATACTTTTTTCATTTTTTATCTTTTTATTATTAAAATAAATTACACAATTAAATTAATCATATAATAAAAATCTAGGTTTTTTTTTTGTGTATGTTGTATTTGGAATTTTACAAAATGAGTATAAATTACTAAAACTGTTAAAAATCTCACATAAACTTTTAGGATCAAGGTTTTAATTTTTTTCTATATTATAGTATAATGATTATAAGACCATATGAAGAAATAGTTTTAATTTATATATATATATATATATATATATATATATATATTCATATCGTTTAAATTAAACTATACATTGTATGAAAATACATACTTATATTTTGATATTTGCATTGAGCATATATTGAAAAGTTAATATTTTAATTTTGAAATATGTCATTAGTTTTTAAAATAATTATAAATTAAGGAAATTACTAAACATCTCACATTAAAAAAAATTCGTTGGTGTAAAGTTTTGTTACATAAACATGCAAATAATCATAAAATCATATGAGTAGAAAACTCATTTAATAAATATCCCTATTAAAAGTGTGCTATATTACTATGTTTATATCATTTAAAATTAATTATATATCATATACAATATATAAGATTGATTATTTTGATTTATTTACCTTAATTGCGAATAAACAAGAGTGATAATTAAATTTATGTGCATACGCCAATTTATTACATAATACTAACTGATTTCTTAGTTAATTAATATATATATTTATTATTTTATTATTTTATAATATGCAGAAAAATATAAAATAGATAATAAATATAAAATACTTATTGTGCATAAAGTGCAGATCTTAACCTAAGTATGTATCTCTTTAATTATTTTATATCTTAAGCATTTTCTAAATCCCAGGTCAAAACAAACAACCGAAATGAGAATAAAATTCAAAATAAATATTTATAAATAAATATTTATATCGAGAAATAACCAAAATAAGAAAAAAAAAACAAGAGAAAAAATTGAAGATAAATAGGATTGATACGTGAACTTAAACTTTTCATAACCATAATTAATTTTTAATTGTTAATTCATGATATAAAACTGAGTTGATTTTTAATTTGTTAATTTTTTTAAAAAAAAAAATTATTATGGTTATGTTAAATCATGACCATAATTAATTTTAAATTATTTATTTGTATTTGAAAAACTTAAATTATTGTTTTTAAAAATAATTTAAAATTTAGCTTAATTTTTATAAAACTATTTTAAAATAATAATAATTTGTAAAATATATAATTTTCTAATATTATTAGACAATAAATAAATTAGATTAAATTAGTTTTGAAACTTTATATATTTTAAATGCAAATATTTTACCAACTGCTTCTTAAGAAAACATTAGGGAACTTGCTAATACTCTATCAATCAAGCCCAGTGACACTCCGTTTATTTTCCATCACTTTAACATTGAAAAATGAAAATATATATGAAATCAGATCCATTAAATTCTAAGCTTTGATCTGTAGTTCTAATTACAATTGTTTTTGATCATACGTATAGATAATTATATAAATTCCAAAATTTTAAAATTTTAAATACATATAAAAACAATCATATATAAATTTTAAATTTGTCAATACTAAAATTTTATATTTTAATTACATATATTCACTCTGCGCAAGGTGCATATCCTATCCTAGTATGCTAATTAATTAACTATAACAGTGTAGACTCCGTTTAATTTCTCAATGGAATATTTCCTTATTTTTAAAAACAAAAATCTAATGACAAAACTTCTAATATTTGAGATGATTGAAAGGTTATCTTAAAAATATGCTTTAGTTTAATATTATAGATGTATAAATATAACCCATTTACTTTCATATTGCAACGTTATCTGCAGCACTGGCCTTGCAAGCCTCCTTTTATTTTAACCCATTTGTCCATCTTCTTTTTGCAAGGAAGAGACTATGCGGCAAACCGAATTGAATATTGATCTTATACTTCAATTTTCTTTACAAAATACACATATAGACCCCTTCCCAAATTTGATCCAACAAAAAGAAAAAAAAAAAAAAAAGATCCCTTCCCAAAATTTTTAAGCTCCTAAATTTGTAAAACAAAATTTGAGTTCAAATCTTTAATAAATCACTTCAAGGCTGGTCCTGAGATTATGATGTCCAAATTGAAGAGTCAAGAATTTAATGGATCAATAAATAAAAACACTGATGTCAAGCATCTACTTATTTTTATTATCATTGCAGCAAATATGTACAGACACGTAGAAGAAGCATGCGAAAACATTGACATACAACTAAAAAGAAACAGAGACGTAATCACAAACACACGAACAACCTCATACAACGCATAAACAAAAAGAGAACCTCTTTGGCCTACAAAAGAAAGACACACGAACTCTGCATTCAACGACCGCTTGATGTGTCTAAAACGAAAGCGTTTTGGGGGCTACTCTGTTTCTTCTTCTTTCTCTCTTTTGAAATTTGGGTTAGGAGATTAGAGATCACACGCCGTAAGTAGGAGGAGAGCTCCTTGGTCCATCCTCTGATCCTGCTCCCTTATCGAACGCGTCCGAAGTCGACCTTCTCCTGAACCGAAAGGGTTCCTTTCCTCCTGCGTTTGCTCCGTTTACATCCCATAGGGTCCAGGTTCGTTAGTAACATTCACTTAACCATAATTTCATAACATGAACTATATATCTATTAAAAAGAAAACTTAATGAACAACCACAAATATCACACGTTAGTTAGGTTTGTATGACAACATTTGACAAGACGGCTCCCCTACTCCCCTAATAATAATATCATAGATGAGAGTGATGAATGACATAATTAACCCTCTCAATGTCACTTTATCAGATTTTTTCATGAAATGGACGAAACTACCCCTAGCCGAATTTAAGTGAGTGTACTACTATTCCACCTACCAAATAATTAACGGAAACAAAGAGGTAATAATTAAAAACTCACCAGAGAAAGGAGATACCGGAGGAGTCGAACCGGCCGGCGAAGCCGGAGCTGAACCGCCTTGGTATCCTGGTGGTTTGATTATCATGATGCTACGTGTCACTTTCAGAGCCTCTTCCGGTGAATCTCCACCGTACGATCTCACGCTTCCACCGTCTGATTGATCTAAGACACGGCCAATATTTAATAAAAAAAAACATCAGATCAGTCTTGTAATAATATCCGTTAAAGCTACTTTATGTTCCTTTTGTTTTTAGGTCAACAGCTACTTTTATGTTTCATATCAAAGAGTTAGTTATATTTTTCAAATAATGATCAACGACCGGCTCAAGATAGCAAAAACACGGCGTACCATTGCCGGAGCTAGGTCGGAAACTGAAAGTATGATGTTTCCGAAGCTTGCCAAGGCCGTTCTCCGGCCGAGGACCAGCGACGGTATCATCCCAGAGATGATCAAGTATGCCCATGATGGATCAAAGTAAAAGTTATCAACCCTAACGTGTTTTCACAGATGTTGTGGAGAGAGAGAGATTCGTATTATTGACGAAGGTGGCGATGGATTTAAAGGCGATCGGGGAGATCTCGTCCGTTGATGGTTTTCTGACGTGGCGCTCGGATCGTAGCTCACGCAAGGCGGATAAGAAGATTGGAGTGTGGGACCTGACTCGATAAGCTCGAGATAGTTCGATCGGAGGGTCAGAAATGAATCTCACATGCCCGCATCTCACGCTTTCCAGATATTTACGATCGTACCCTTGCCTTTATCCTGTTTGGGATCAAATACCTCCTCGATTTGCCATTTATTTACACTATTACCATTTTCGAGGATCTTAGCCGCCAGCTCTGTTCAATGATCTACGATTGAAAATAAAGACTTGAGTAAAATATGTATTGGGCCGTGAACTAAAGAAGTCCATTAGTAAGCCCATTAATGAATTATTGGAAATTATACAAAGCACCTCAAATGTTTGATTAGAGTCAACTAGTCCTCTAACCTTTTATCTTCTTGGAGAATGATCAGGGGCAGAGGTAGTGTTATGGAAGAGGGTCACCTGACCCCACTAAATTTTTAAAATTATTTGTTTTGGTTTGAAAAAAAAAATTATATTGACCCATTAAAAATAAAATTTGACCCTATAAAAGAATTTAAACCCACAAAAAAAATTAGAAACCATTTAAACTAAAGATAAATTTTAATTATATAACAATATGTTTATGTTATTTGTTAAACATTTTCATTTGAATTTAAAATTTAGTAAAAAAAATGTTTTTAATTTAAATTCTAGTTATATATTTGTATTAAGCTCAAATTGTATTAGACCCACATAATATCGTACTTCATAATATCTAGAAAACTTGTGTTTCTATAAAGGTGTATATTTAACTAATTCTCTTTAAATTTTAAAGTGCGTTGTTTTTTTTATAAATAATCCAGAATAATTTTTCTTGTTATACTCTGTTCTTGCTTATATTGTTTTATAAAAAGGCATTTTAGGGTTTATGTTCATGTTCTAAATATTTTCAACTGTCAGTTTTATTTTTAGAAACCAACTATTTTTTTTTTAATTTATCAGGAAAAATTTCACAGATCAATTAAAATCTTCTTCAATGGACGATAGTTTCTTAAATAGAAAAAAACAATTGTCAAACATTACAAAACATTATTACGAAATCATATCGTTGATCAGTTCTAAATAATTTTCGTATTCAACAGATTATAAATTATGTTTAGAAAGAAAAAAATTCTGACATTGGTACAAAATATTTCTGGCTCCGCCACTGAGAATGATTGTTTGTAGTTTTTGAAATGGTTTTTGGATTTTGTTTTTCAAAAACTACTTCAATGTCCAATCAAGATTTTGAAGAAATCGATTCCTTAAAAAGTAGAAAAACTAGTTTCTGGAATAACTATACAATTGTTAACAAGAACCATAAGTCTGGTTTTTACTAGTTTTTACAGAAGTAATTGACGATGGTTTTTATATATTTATTTCTTTTAGAGATTTTCAATTTTTGTGGCAACTCCTTTATGATTCTCATTGCATGATTATATGTTTCTTATTCACGTAAACAAGATCTATTCACCACTAAAATCTATAAATTTTACTATAATAAAATAATAAAAATTTCAATATCCAAATAAAAAACACTAACATTTTTATTTTACTGTTTGCTCTCATACTAAATTTGCACCACTAGCTAATTTATGCAATCAGTTACTATAAAATCTAATTTTATATTAATTTATAGATTTGAATTTCATAAAATTTATATACTTGTACTACATTTTTGAAATTTAATTAATTTGTAGTTAGCTTGTTTAAAAAACAGTTATAATTATGTATGTTCATATAGTATATATAAATATATTAATTAAAATCCGAAATATAACTAGTATATTTATTTAATAACTAAAGCAATAACAAAATAAAAACTTTATTTTCATTTCATTATTTTTAGAAAAAACACTGAAACTAAAATCTTAAATATAAAATAAATAATATAATATATTTTTAAACTAAACTCTTAATAATAAATTTATTTATTCTGATAATAATAACATCTTGTATTTTTATAGTTTCAAAAGAAATATATTATTATAAAAAAAGATTTAATTTATAAACCAAAAGCCAAAATCTAATGCTGACATTCAAGCCTTTTAAAAAAACTAAAATCTACAACAAAATAAAAAATAAATAAGTAAAGATCAAAATCTAAAAACTAAAAACTAGAATCTAAGAACCAAAAACTAAAATCTGTTGACAAAAAAAAAAAAACTAAAATCTAAAAACTATACAAACAATCATCATTCAGATGAGAAGTTTTTCCATCTCCACAGTGCCTCTGTCGCCGTTTCGGTTTCAGACCCAGACTCGAATCACAGTACTCAGCACCTGAATGAATCTCCGCTCATTCAACCTCAATCCGACAAGGATTTGTACCAAAGTTAGAGGTTTGAGAGAAGATAATGATTCAAGATTTGTCGATGAAAATGTCATAGTTGATGACTGGAAGGTTACTTAGATAATCTCTCACTCGAATGCGACTCCGTTTGGGATACAGAGCCTTCCTGGTAAGTCTAAGAGTCTTAGTTATGCTACTACCACATGTTCTAAACATCTTCTGACTATGCTGGGTTTTTGTCAGAACCTAAAGTCATTGACTTTCGATTACAACTTGGTCTTGTTTTTTTTTGTGAGATGTGATGAATTTTTGTTTTTTTTCAGCCGTATTCAGAAATGATTGCAGAAAGAAAGAAACGAGTAACTGATGATGGCTTAGAAGATATCTATGGCAAAAACAAGACTTTGTAGAAAAACTATTCCACTCCTAATATTGTTCTTTTTTTTTTTTTTGATCAAACAATTGCATTAATAAAAGTAGCTTACACTCCAACGATGGAGTTTGAAACAGAGGATGCGAGAACTGATTTCGCTAAGGAATCAGCTTCGACGTTAAAGTTCCGCGAAATAAAAACAAAAGATACTGAATCAAAGAGAGGAATAAAATGATAGATATCAAACATGATCCCGAAAAGTTCAGGTTGGAACTCTCTCTTGTTCAGTAGGTTGACCAAGGAAAGAGAGTCGGAGAGAACCGCTAGGGATCGGACGTTTGAGTAGACAGCAGTAGTCACTGCGAGACGGACAGCTAAGGCTTCTGCCAAAAGAGCTGATGAAACGTGAGGATGAAACTCGGAGAGATTGGGAAGTAATCGGGTACCTGCACCTGAACACACACCTCCTAAACCACACCCTCTAGTAATGGCGTCCCAAGCTGCATCGACTTTGTAAACCAGTACACCCAGAGGAAAGGTAGGAGGGGGGGAAGGTGATCGTTGAATTGGGTGAAGCCTTCCCGCTTGTACATAAGCCGGAGAAGATGATAGTTGTTGAGCAGAATCCCATTCCTTGGCATCTAAGATACTTTTGAGAGCAATTTCAGAGGCTGAGTAAATTCTGTTTTCAAACACCAATTTATTTCTTGCTTTCCACAAATTCCAAAGCACCCAAGGCCAGAGAGGGGAGACGAGTCCAGTCGGAGGCAGTGGCTTGAAGCTCGTTCCCGATTTCAAAAGTTCGGGTAGGGAAGATAGAGAGGCTGGTGGACGCGTAGAAAGAGGTAAGAGGCTCCAGACTTCCTCCGCCACAGGACATTTGAGAAAAACATGAACGTCCGTTTCTGGGTTACCACACTTCTTGCGTACAAAAGCTGTGATTCCCCTTCGCTCAAGATTCTCACTCATCGGGATTGCCTTCTGTATAACTTTCCAGAGAAAGTCCTTTATCTTAGGTGAAGTGCTGACATTCCACAGATGTTTTAGCCACTCGATTGGTTGTGGAGCATCTCTGTCAAAACCTTTGTCTAACATTCCAAGTCCATAACCAGATTTCGTTGAATACTTTCCTGATTTCTCTGGTAACCAACAGAGCTTATCATAGGATGGAACTGAACTTGTTTTTATCGTCAAAATAGCTCCCTAATACTGAGGTAAAACTTCCCTTATCTTCTCAACCATCCATTGATTCGATAAAGGACATAAAAGATCACTGACCTTTAGACGAATCCCTTCTAGAGTTGGAGGTCCTATCGGTTGTGTCGGACTTTTAAAAGAGAGCCAAGGGTCTCCCCAAACTCGAACTGACTCGCCGTTGCCAATAGTCCAGCTTAGACCCTTCCGAAGTAGGTCTCTTCCAGCGAGGATGCTACGCCACCCATGTGACGCAGTTAAAGGGGCAGAGCATTCAAGGAATGTGGAGTGTCTAGCATATTTGCCCAATAGGACCCGCGCTAAGAGCGAGTGCGGCTCAGATAGTATCCGCCAGCCTAATTTTGCCAACAGTGCATCATTGAAAGTTTCAACATCTCGGAAGCCAAGACCACCTGCGTATTTAGGTAAAGCCAAAGATGTCCAAGCAATCCAACACATTTTCCTCTTCTCTGGATTCGCATCCCACCAAAAACGGGTGAGAATAGATTGGATTTGCTTACATAGAGAGATGGGGAGCTTGAAGCATGACATCGAATAGCAGGGCATGGCTGAGAGTACAGCTTTTAACATTATTTGTTTCCCTGCTCCAGATAAAAATCTTGTCGTCCAGCTATGCGATTTCTGTCGAAGTCTATCAACCACAGACGCAAAAATATCTTTCTTTTTTCGACTGAAGTTCTCTGGTAATCCCAAGTATTTGCCAATGCCTCCTTCAGCCGAAATATCCATCGATTCTTTAACCCGTGAACGTACTGTCTCTGGTGTCTTTGCGGAGAAAGTTATAGCCGATTTCTGAGGGTTAATTCTTTGCCCTGATACAGCTTCATAGGTGGAAAGAATCTGCATTAACGCAGCCACGCATCTCGGACTTGATTTGCAGAAAAACATAGTATCATCGGCAAACAAGAGGTGATTGACAGCTGGACTTCCTCGTGCGACCTTGATTCCAGGTAAGGATCCGTTCTCTTGACCTCT